CTTGCGATTCACAGCTGTGAATGAGGGCGACCGCCATCGACTTCCCCACCACCACCACCACCACGTGGTGCTTATTCTGTCGCGACCCCGGCAGGAGAAGCGGTGGGTTTGAGTCAACTGACCAACGGGGGTTTGAACTTTGGAAAACGTTCGGGCTTGCGGGCCACTCGCTCCGCTGCGATCGTGGTGAACAGCAGCAACAACAACAACAACAAACAGCACGTAAGGGGCACGAGGTGAACACCTCCCGAGCTAAATAAAGATTCCGATTATTCTGAACACCCCCGCTTGCGCGCCGGAATTCCAGCCACTTGCTCGTTTCATTCCAAAGAAGGCCTCTCTCCCCAGGTGTAAGTAAGTAAACTGCACCCACTCCATTAATCAGGGCCCTTCCCGTAAATTTCAAAAAAACATTTTCCACCAATGTCAACAAAGCCCTCCAGCTGCAGTGGAGGGAGAAGTGCCCAGCCCCTCGGTGAATCCACCACTGGATGAGGGAGGCCTTCCCACGCCGTGCGGGTCACGGCAGTTTTTGCTTTTTCTTTCTAATCCGTCGTCCCTCACCGTGCCGATCAGTGCGGGCTGGTGACGGTGACAAGCACAGAAGTGCCGAAAGCGACGACGCTAGCCCATCGTTGTGTGTGTGGTGGTAGTGGTGGTGGTCACCCATCCAGGCGCTGTCCAGGTTCAGCCCTGCTCGCCTTCTGGCATGGACGGGTTGCGGAGATGTCACCGATGCAGGGCAGAAGAAGTGGAGGGAGACCGAGGGTGAGATAGCAGCATGCGGTGGAATGAGACAGGGGGAGAGGCTGTGGATGTGGCGAGAGGAGAGGCACAGCAGGAGCACGCGGTGTGAGAAAATCCGAGCAGCCAGCCTCATGGCTAAGAAGAAGACATCTCATGGGATCGGGCGCATTCCAAAAGATTTGATCATAAAATGTAATTATACACGTATGAGTGTTTGTTTGTATGCGTGTTGAACTTCTTCCGCACCGTACGTAGCCAACCGTGCTAATCGCGAGGAGCGGGGGAAGGACAACAAACCAAAACACAAAAAGCATTTCTAAAGCGATGAGTTTTAAATCTCGATTTAAAAGTGCATAGCTCCAGTGGCTTCCAAATATATGGGAAGAGCGTTCCAGACGGCCGCAGAAGCGCCTCCGAGTGCGCGCGATGCGGTGACCTCCGTCTTTGTTTCGTGGCTGGCCAAAATCCGCCGCTGCGAGGATGACCGGAGATCGCGTGATGGCTTATGCCCCTTGATGAGAAAAACAATAAGCCGTGACACGAAGTAAGAGAACGGGGTACTCTCTGTGGCGCATTTGTGAGATTCACCTGTGGAGTTTCTGCGTGAATAGAAGCCTTGCAGACTCCACATGTGGTCATGGCAATATGTGAAGGCGTGAGTCAGTCTTTGTGTGCTCAGTCGGCACTCGTTTCCCAGCTCGTCCGGTCAATGCTGCGCCGCACCTCCGATCGGGAAGCAACCTTTTCCCGAGTTTAACTCCTCGTATTCGTCGTAAGCAGCGGCCATGCTCAATCCGCTGCTGGACGAAGCCTTTTCCTAAGCCGTCGCCGTCGCTCACGAGCCTGCAGTGCAACGATCCACTAACTATTTGTATGCAGTATGAGTAGAAAAGGTTTCTCTACATTAAAATAACGCGTATAATGGCATTGGCCTACGAAAACCTTTTTCATTGGAAGACCTTCAATAAATTAATGAATAAGATATTAAATACATAATATTTATCATAAAAACACAAATTATAATTAGTTATAATAAACATAAAGTAAACAAATATTAAAGTATTCCTGCTTCTTTCGGTAAAGTCACGTAGAAGGGAAACAATAAAATAATAAAAATATAAAACAATAAAATTCTCACGACGTTTCGACTGCAACACAAGCAATCATCATCAGGTGTGAAAACCACAGCAAGAAAATTTGAAAAAAGTGGCAGTTTTTTTTAACGTTAGCACCACGGAGAGCGATTTGGCAGTTATTCAGGTGGACGAGTCCATCTATGTTCGGAAAAGAGGAGGGGGGAGACGAAAATAATGGATGCGGTCTGAAAGCCACCGTAAGCGTGAACAATCAAGACCCGAAATGGTTTAACAAATCCTTCCAATGATTGCTAAGCCAGAATCAATCTTCTCGGTTGACATTGTCTCTGTGTTTGTATATGTGGATAGCCTCATGGACGAATCTTCCATGGTAGCCAGATGGCTTGCAAAGAACCTCTGTCTTGGAGAAGTCAATGTCATGTGAGCCTACTGAATTATAACAGTGATCTGCCACGGCCGAGGTGTTGGTCCTAGCGTGTATTAGGTCTGCTTTGTGTTCACGAATGCGGTCCGAGACATGTCGTTTGGTTTCTCCAATGTAACTACTACCACAGAGGCAACTTGGTTTGTAGACGCCAGGGTACTGTATGTCCGGAATCACATCTTTTACAGACGGAACCAGATCACGGATTTTATGTAATGTGTTGAATCGGACCTGGATCTTGTGTTTATTCAAGATTTTGGAGATCTTTTTTGTGATCCCCGCAATGTAGGGTAAAGTGATGGTTTTGAAAGGCTCCTCAAGAGGGTCCTTCTTCATGGTTGGAGTGATAGCTTTGTGGATTGTGTAGTTGGAGTAACCATTAGCCTTAAGAGCTTGGTGTACATGCTTGAGTTCACTGGATATGTGTCCCTGGTCGGGGTTCTATGGTGCAGAGTCTTGATGAGGGAATTCTTCTGGGATGGATGGTGGTGGGAATCTGGTTTCAGGTAAGCATCCGTATGGGTAGCTTTCCTGTGGACAGAGTGGCTCATTGAACCATCAGGTCTCTGTTTTATTAAGACATCCAAAAAAGGTAGCTTTCAAACTTTTCGACTTCCATGGTAAATCTGATGGCTGGGTGTATGGAATTGATGTCGTCGAATAATTGGTCTAGAGCAGGCCAGCCATGTGGCCAGATGACAAAAGTGCCACTTTTTTAAATGTTCTTGCTGTGGTTTTCACACCTGATGATGATTGCTTGTGTTGCAGTCGAAACGTCGTGATAATTTTATTTTTTATAATTTTATTATTTATTGTTTCCCTTCTACGTGACTTGACCGAAAGAACCAAGAATATGAATCCCTGCAGTCACGAAAGCTTTAAATCAAAATATTAAAGTATTAAATAATAGTTTATTCATTAACTTACCTTAAATTATTATTATTATGCTGCTACGCATCACCGCTTTATCTCGTCACTTTCTCTCTCTCTCTCGATGCAGTCGTGTTGAGTTCCAGATGCGATTCGCGGATAGCCAAAATCGCGCAAGGCAAGTTCGTGAAGAACGAGGAAATTGTATTAAAAACGGGAGATGAAACTGATTTGAAGAGTTTAACACGTAGGCTTTCGCGACCAATATCATCCATAATAGTCTTTTTTTATTTGAAAAATTATGGAACCACTCGTCCCTTATCACACGTGTATACATGACTGATGCAAGTCATTGGGAACAGACCAAGCCGGAATTAGGGAAGGTCTCTCTACCTTCAAGCACATTCTGGAAAAGACAAATTGATATCAATTACAACTACGCCTTGTAGCATTCATTCTTGATTTGAAGCTTTCGTGACTGCAGGAATCCATACTCTTTGGTTCTTTCGGGTAAAGCCACGTAGGTATAAAATAAAATAAATCACGACGTTTCGGGCGCAACACAAGCGTTCATTACAACGGATAATTTGTGTTCGATGTGATGGTTGTTTTCGCCTTATCTGCCCCTTCCCTGTCTCCCCTGCTATCTCGCTGTGCTTCACAATGCAGCGGTCATAATGTTCCGACAAGATCCGTCAAGTGACGACGGATAAGAGTCCCCCTACCCCCCCTTTCTGACGAGCGGCTCCTGCCGTGCGTGCGCCCTGACATTTGTTGAAATGTAAAAAAAAGAAACAACACCGCACAACGTGTAGTTCACACGCGCAAAACGACAAGAGCCTCGTGTTTGTCACAAAGTCATCTTCTTTTGAGTTGGCCTATTGTCCCGGTGACAGCGAGGCTAAGGGCCGAGAGACTCGAACCTCAACTATTTATGACATCTCCCGCAGATCGCTCGCGGCCGATAACGCGAAGCGTTCGTTGGGTCGGGAAACAAAGGCACAGGGCTCGCCATTGTGGTTGACACGGGATGGAATGAAGCCCACCTCGACCACGGCCTTCCTGTTGTCGTTACACTCCACTTGCTCACTATTGCGCTATTACGCCACTGATGTCCGAACAGATACGCCACCGCCATTCCTTGCCAAATCGATTAGCGGTATTGCTTAGCGTAAGACAGGGTGGGTTTGCGGGTTAGGTGGCGGGCTGGCTGGCTGGCGGGGGGTGAGAGAGCCGTGTTGTTGCGGGAGTTGGGGGGGGGGGGGGGAGGTTTCCGTGATTGCGGCTAATTGTTGGCTTGCATGTCTAGGGGGTGGTGGGTGGTGGGTGATGGCTGTGGCGGTGGGCGTTCGTTTCGAGGCGCTGTGGGGTCGGTCGCAGGGCAAGAGGCGTGGGGTGTGTGTGTGTGGGGGGGGGGGGGGGGGGCTCAAGCCACCATCGTCAACTCAAGCCCCCGGGGTGGTTTTTGTTTTTTTCCCCCGCGAGTTGGTTTGTCTGGAAGGCTCTGGTGGCTAAGACCGCGAGCATTAGGTGGGGGACATCGGTGGATTACAGCAGGAACAAAGTCTCCCCCCGCCAGGCTTCGACGAGGAGACGATAACTGGCATTCAAAACATTTACATCTGCCCAAAAATACCGTGAACGGGTGGGAAAATACACAATGGCCACCTGATTCTGGCTGACACGGTTTCTATGAGTACTGCGGAGAAGAAGAAGAAATTTTATTTAAAAAAAATTGTTGCTGTGGTTTTCCCAGCTGATGATGATTACTTGTGTTGCAATCGCAACGTCGCGATTAGTTTTTATTGTATTTCTACCTACGTGACTTTACCGAAATAACCAAAGAGTATGGATTCCTGCAGTCACGAAAGCTTCAAATCAAGATTGAATAAAAAAAAAAACCTTTTGAAAAACAGCCCCAGGGATTGTTACGTGGCGTTATATAATGGAGCGCTCGCTACCACGGCGAAATGGTCAGCCATTCACACGTCGCGGAGGTCAGTTCAATCTCCCGGCGCGGTAGTTGCAACGGATGACACGATGGTCCTGTCCACCGAACCCTCCACCCGCGACCGCCAACCCCACTCTGTCCGCCCAAAAGTGCAAATTGGCGCACCACAGTCCGTTCCGTCGGCAGGGTCGCGCGCGTGTGGCGGGATAACGTGTGGGTAGTCGGAGTGGAAGAGTAGGCCAAACGCCCTTTTTCGTGTGGGTCCTTCCGCTAGCAGTAGCGCGAGGCGAGCAAATGCAGGGGCTGCACCTTTGTTTTACCTTTTACGTAACAGCAAGCCTTGGACATTTTTATCGCGGGTTTTGGTCCGATTTTTATCTCTGCAGTTGTTTTATAATGCATTTCACACGGTTCCATGTATAACGCCTCGTGCTAGGTTTGGTGAAATGTCAACAATGTTCTAGATATTGTATTAGAATTGTAATATATATTAAATTCCAAGACACTATTTGGATTTAGAATAGAACATTGGTAGATCTAAGTATATTTCTTTTTTCACGAACAAAATGTTAACTTTTTTGCGGTTAAAGCGTAACTTTATTTAAGCTCCCTTTCATAATGCATTATTACACTTAATGATGTCCTGTCAGCATGGAAGATTAGGCCAAACGTCCTCTAAATAAGGCCTTCTAGAACTCCATCTCGTGGATGGCATGCACAAGCAATTTCAGGACTGCAACTTTACCTTAACACTGCATGGCATTCATGGCTATACACCTGACATCACATTCTGCATTTTTCTTCGGATGTTAAGTATGTATGTTGAACCTCTTTCGCACAGCACGTAGCCAACCGTGATGTCTCTTTCACCAACCTGTGCTGACCAGTGTGGTAAAGTAAACTTAAACAACACCAAGGTGTGGAAAGGCCTTCATCCAGCACGGTATTAAGGGCTCTGTATTATTATTATTATCATGTTCATAATACAGAAACTATTGACTTCCCACCAACTGGCGCTGAACAGGCGATACTGATACAACCTACCCTGATGCAATAACCACCATGATGATGATGGTGACGACGATGATGGTGATGGTGGTGCCGAGCCAATCTCAGCTTGGATTTGAACTCGTGGAACCGTCAACCGAGCGCTCGGCTCATCTCCCCAACCAGACTACCGTCCCGGCCACACGACCGTAAAACTAAAGAAACCTTCGGTAACGATTGCCCGCACACAAAGCCAGAGAAAGTGACGGCGTGAAATTGATTTGTTACGATTGGGAGGAGGGGGGGTGGAGGAGGAGGGGGGGTTGCGCATTAAGGGAAGTCGTCCTCCCCGCGCCGGATTAATCATAAACGCCACGCTAAGGGCCAAGCATCCTTCTGGGTTGCTCTGCGGTTCCATCAACCTTGACCTCGGGGTGGGCTCTCGGCCAACCGCATGAGCGCTGCGAGCCATTACGTGTACAACACAGCGCTGTTTGCCAAAGGAAACCCACCATTTGACCGGCCCCCCACTGCTGCAGTGATGTATTCAAAGGTTTTTTTTTTTCAGCCGGCGGTGGTGGTGGTGGTGGGTTGGGGAAATTCGGCGGCGTGCGTAAGAGATTGATGGCTTGTGTAAAGGCTCCGCTGCATGGTGGTCCGGGTGGGTTGGTTGTTTTTTTTTCTCCTCTCTTTCTTTTCACTGAAAAAAAAAGAGAAAATGTGCTCCGATGTGTGTGTCTCTCTCCCTCTCTCTCTCTCTCCTTCTCTGGATATTCTTGTACCACGTAAATTTTACAAGCAGCCATTCGTGCCCATTTCTGCAACAGAAGTCGAATTCCGTTCCCTCGTTTTTTGTCCGACTGGGAACGCTTTCGCCAAGGTCCCTTCTTCTCTGGGACCTCGTGCGTTACGCGGGTTTCTTGAGTTGTAAAGGAGGACCACTGCACATGTCGGACGTTGCGAACGAGTGGTTGAGTAACCGGTACCTGTGTGTCAACGTCAGCACTTGGGGAGACAGAGGCGTGATGCTGGCCAGACCACTCCGTCATGCATTGCAGGGGCCTTTAAAGGTGCTCGCTAACAGCATCGGGCGCACCAGCCTGTTAAGGCTCCGAAGAGGGGGATGGATAATTGTCTTTGTGTGTACATATATACATGTACTTACAGAGTGCGGTTCATTTGTACGGCACGCACATTTTCTAACGGACGCCGAAAAAAAAATATTTCCCGTGCGAATGTTAGCACGCTGACTTTTTTTTTATTAAATCATACCGGAAAGATATCATTTTCAGAAAAAAAGTTTTTTTGAGACGCAAATTTTGCTGGGATTATCCCCTTGCCTCTGCCATTCCAGCTGCGGTGCGGACGTGTAAAAACGCCACTCTATCTGTTGCCGTGGAACAAAAATACCTGCGAGAAGTTCAAGTCCTGGTCACAAATCCCGTCCCTGCGTGGCCACGTTGTTTTCACGTCAGACAACCACCACGTCCTGTCAGCTCGCAAAGAAAAACAGTGCGGAATGATGGGCACAGCGCTGCAGTCGCGGATCGCGATTATTAATCTTTATTTTTTCTCTCAACTCTAAGGCCCTGGCAGCCCAGTTGACCCCGAGCTGGTGGAGGGTCGTTTTATTTTTATTTTAGTTTTTTTTTTAGTGGAGGTTTGTGGAAAGTGAACTGTAGCGCTTTACAAGCAAATGGCTGGGATAATGTGATTAGCTGCACATTCCTGGGAGCTACGGTTAAAAAAAACCTGGCTTCAATTGTTGTCAATTTTGGCGAATGCCAAAAAATCCGCGTGGGATTACGTTTACAATAGCTTTTTGTTTAAAAGCTTTGACAATTTTCACCATTTTATTTCTTCTGCTCCCACTTAGGATATACATTTTTTTAAAAATTTAATTGCATTTCATTGTAAGCATCCGTTATCCGTGAAAACATCTCACGCCGCATTCCTGCCCCGTATTCGGTAACGTCAATATTTACCATGACAACAACTTACGAAGTCTCAACTTCGGCAGAGGAAGTTTTAAGTTCAAATTATCGGTTTGTTAAAATAACGTTTCAGAAAATAAACCGCGGAGTGCAAGCGTCGAATTGACGCAAGTGTAGGCCAGCTCCGTTGTGAAAAAAAAATCTAAAGCACGTGCATCAATACGCCCTGCCTTAAAGAGGAAAAATATGTAACTGGCGACATTTAAGGCATTGAAATAAAGGGGTCGTTGCTCAAAAAAAGTTATCACCTGCAGAATTGTGTTTCCTCTTTACGGCAGCGGTCTTGACAAAATAGGTGAATTTGTGTTATTTGTGTTTCTGCACCACCGCCCAGGCAGCATAAAAGCAGTCTTTAGTTTCTTGCTAAATAGTAATAATATTTTACATCCTTTTATCAATCCACTACTGTATCATGGACTTTCTGGGCCACATCTGTCATTGGGATAGTCTCTTGTCTCTGCTTCACCATGCTTGTTATTTGGTAATGGTGAAGATGGGGTAAGGGCAGAACGAGTTCACGTGTCACTTTATTACTTAATTGTCGTAGAAAGCGTCCAAGGGTACGTCCACCGAAGAGGTGGAGCCGAGAGATGAGTCCACATGCAGCAGGTGCTCGGTGGATCATCATCAACATCTCGTCACGGTGGCAAGATGTCAACTACCTCGCCTGGTATGCAGGAGGTTGCGGTGTTTGATTCCGACCCTGACTCCTATTGTATATTGGGAGTTTTGCATATTCTCCCTCCCCGTGGTTGTGTGGATTCCCCCCCCCCCCCCCTCCACATTTAGAAACACGCGTTTATAGTATTAGGCTGCTTCACATTTCCACGTGATAAGCCACTTCCTTGAGCTGTCATGTGTGATAGGCAGGTCGCTTGTGAAACAGAGCTAGATAGCTCAGTTGGCCTTACCTGGTAAAATAAAAATAATTTAGTTTATTATCATTATTATTGATACATCACGGGGACCGCGGCAGCGGCTTGGCAAGGCCTTTGTCCAGCAGTAGATAGACCATGGAATAATGATGGTGGCGATGACTTGATGTCTACATGGTCTTCTTTTGAATACTGCTGTATATGTCTCTTGAGATATATACGTCTCAATAGTATGCTATATATCTCATATTATATTAATATATACTACACAACACGATCCTACATATAACACATTATATATACAATATTACATCATATACAATAATATATGAAAACGTGGTATGTTATATATCGCATGAGAACCGCGGTAATACGTGTTTGGCGGAGTCCTTTGAAGCTGCGGCCCATTCTTCCCTGTCTCTTTTGAAGCGCCCGAGGGGCTTAGTAAACCCCTTGCATTACCCCCGATGAATGTGGATGTAAATTCAAGCATAATCTCCGCCCCCTTTGTCCCCAGCGCCTTGCTCAACTTTCAATTTCAAATGGGGGGACGGCACCCGAGCGGCCGGTGTTTTCGGCAGTGCCCGTGGCTGGGCCCGGTTCCCCTTTTAGCTTGCGGTGGTGATGGTGGTGGGGGGGTTCTCTCTTTTGATTTGTGGGTGGCTCACCGAGATAATCTGTCCCACCATCAAAGGGGCCACACATGAAAGGTTATGGTAATGACGCAGGCCCCGGCAAGGTTATTAATTGAGAAAATGGACTCCTCGAAGCCTGCAGGGCATCGCTGCACACCCCCCCACCTCCCGACAAGCCTTAGCCCTGACAATTGTGATACGGAAAATTGAGGTTGTAGAATACGTTCAGAGAAGGGGAAATCCATTCTCGCGTGGCTATTTTTTTTATGAGCGCTTTTACTGCATTCACATGGGGATTGCCCCGGCTGGAGGAAAATGCTCTTAGCCGCGTTTTATACGCTCTTTTATACGGCCAAGTTTTTTTATGTGTTGGCTGAGCCTTTTGAGTACACATTTCATCCCATGGAATGATCATGGGTATAATGAGGAGTCCCGTGATGCTGTTTTCATTCTGTGAGGCTCTTACAGAAAATGAGTCATCTCAAAGACAAACGCATCTTAATGTGTAGAACTCTAGAGTTTTTGTTTAGTTGGGTCCAGATCACAACTTTTTAGTGCCATCGGAGGGAACGCGCCCAAGATGACGTACATCGCGGAGGTGGAGAGATGAAATCAACTCGTGTGCAGCCTCTAGAATAATTTCTGCATCGTAGCATAGCCAAAATCACACTCTGACTTCTTAATTTTACATTCACAAAGCTGTTCACCAAAGCCATTGATGCCACCACATCTAGCCAATGCTTTATACCCTCTGCACAATTAACATATTTAAAATTTAAACCAGAAAACACAACAGCAAAACATATATCCCACATATCGCCGTACAGTGCTGTTAGCAAGCACCTATTAAGGCTGGTAGCCACTTTTGTGTCCCTGGTGGCGATGTTTACACAGCCCACCAGGTACCCAACCTAAACAAAAAAATAAATATATTTTAATTGACCAGGTAAGGCCCACTGAGCTATACAGCTCTTCTTCAGAAGCGACATGGTCACAAATGAAAGCTCAACAGAGTGGCTTATCACGTGGAAATGTATAGCAGCCAAATAATCTGAACGCAGGACTCCAAATGTGGAGAGAAAAACCGGAGGATTCAAAGAAAAGTCCACGCACCAACAGGGAGAGAAATGCAAACTCCAAATATACAGGCGTAAGTTTGGGATCGAACCCACGACCTCATGTATACCAGGCGAGGTAGTCAACATCTCGCCGCCATGGCACCCGACCTAGGTGAGACCCACGACTAATTCTGGCATCACTCGCCATTGACGTTAACCATTGCAGGGAATTGAACTCATGAACCGGGTTCGTAGCGCAGTGCGTTAACCACGACACCACCACCACCACCACAACAACGACACTCACGCGGTCACAGAACAAGAAACACAACTACCGTGTAGGATTTCGTGCTTGTGCTGCATAGTTCCCCAATGTTTCGTCGGGTTATACCGCGTGTCTTGTTTGGCACGATGTCCGGCGTTTCGCTCCGTCAGGGATCGTCTCCCCGATGGGTTCTTGGGCCAGTTCCTGTGCGCGTACAGCTACGCAGCACCACCGAAACAACCAACACTTGAACAATTTGACATGAACAACAACTTGACAACAACTAACACGTGAACAAGTTGCCGTGAACAACAAACTTGACATCAAATAACACGTGAACAACTTGACACGAGCACAGGCAGCACGTTGAACCAATCGTAAAATATATCATCAGCAGCAGCAAGAGTCGTAATCTATACACTTCTGGATGCAGATTTACTCCGTTCCTGGAGAAGCTCCCAGTACGTGAAGCGAAACGTCGAAATTTGCACGCCGAACAACGCTCAGTAAACACCAGAAAACCCATCGCAGAGAGAGAGAGAGACACATAAACAGACCGCCACTAATATCACCACGGGCGTTATTAGTATTACTCCTACTACTACTGCGTCTAATCCCACAATTATTACTCGCCCGGGCGCGTGTGCTTGTGGCATGCGTGCCTGCGCTTGTCGCGAGTGGCATCGGCGCTAAATCCGCATTCCCCCCCCCTCCCTCCCCACCCACCCACCCACCACCAACACCCCACGCCAGCCTCCTGCCACCCGGCCGGCCTCGTGCGGGAGAAGATGGGAATGCGGTGGCTGCAGCATTTGGCCCATTATTCGTCGGGAGGAGGAGGTTGGGATTGCGGGGTGGGATGTTTGGGGTGGGGGGTGGGAGGGGGGTTTAGGGATTAGCGAAGAGGAGGACCGGGTAACAAAGACCCAGTAACAGGATCATCACTTGGTACCTGCAGCACACAATGGCGCCGCACGGCTCCCCCTGGAGAGGGCTGGATCACACGGGGAATATTTCAAAGGGCGAAGGCGCGCAGCCGGTTGGGCTCACGGATGGTGGTCCTGGCTGGGCCGGGCAAGGGAACGCGGTAGAAGGGAGAGTTGAGAGATGAGAGTTGAGAGAGGGAGGGAGGGAGGACGAGGGGCTACAGAGAGGGCAAGAGAGATGTGGCGCTGAGGGAACTGTCCGCAACGTCTGAATGCTGTGGCCCCCATTCCAACGAGCTAGGCAGCGGATGGAAGTGCAGCAAATTCCATTGTTGTATTGTACGTCCTATGGCTTCTGCGTCGATGCTGCCCACCTGAAGGAAGATGTTTGGCTTCAAGCGGGAGGAGACTGGAATGGCCAGAGAATGACCACGCAGATGGGGAGATTCCATTCAAAGCGCCGCACAGATGAATTCAAACAGATTTGTAAGGAACGTGATTGTATAGATATGATAAGTTATGGTCGCTGAACACAATTTGAAATGCGATAATACAAAAGCGTGGATTTCATCCAATCACAGCATTTACAGACATTTTTGTGGGGGAAATATGAATGTTTTTTTTTAATTTGCTCTAATTGCGTCTTTATTTATCATGTGTTACACTACGTTTTCATGTTGTGCAATTTGTGTTTTTGTCATTAATCCCTGAGGTAATCACTTGATTATCTCTGTTTATTCAGGCCTCCTTTGAAGAAAAAAAAAGTTTTCAAAGCCTCTTCATCTGGTGACAAATATTGGCGGTGCCTTTCTACCACATCATTCAATGCTAGCGGTTACTTGCTCTGAGGTTTCTCTGGGAAGACATCAATGCCTAACAAAAGTTAGTATATAGTATTTACCATTGTAATCCCTGTGATAGTCTCCAAAGGCCAGTCACAATGTCCCTTTAAATTAATTATAATTAAAAATCTTGCTAATAGTATATAAGTGGACGGGATCATAGCTGGCTGACCATTGAACAAAAATGGTCACAGCATCGCGTGCTTTCTCAGATGCGCTTCTACAGCCGTCTGGAACATTCTCTTCCTTCCGATATTAGAAAACCACTGGAGCTATGCACTTTTAAATAATGTACAGTGAGGGAAAAAAAGCATTTGATCCTCTGCTGATTTTGTACGTTTACCCACTGACAAAGAAATGATGTCTATAATATTAATGGTAAGTTTATTTGAACAGTAAGAGATAGAATAACAACAACAGAATCCAGAAAAACGCATGTCAAAAATGTTATAAATTGATTTGCATTTTAATGAGGGAAATAAGTATTTGACCCGTCTGCAAAATATGACTTAGTACTTTGTGGCAAAACCCTTGTTGGCAATCACAGAGGTCAGACATTTCTTGTAGTTGGCCACCAGGTTTGCACACATCTCAGGCGGGATATTGTCCCACTCCTCTTTGCAGACCTTCTCCAAGTCATTAAGGTTTCGAGGCTGACGTATGGAAACTCGAACCTTCAGCTCCCTCCACAGATTTTCTATGGGATTAAGATCTGGAGACTGGCTAGGCCACTCCAGGACCTTAATGTGCTTCTTCTTGAGCCACTCCTTTGTTGCCTTGGCCGTGTGTTTTGGGTCATTGTCATGCTGGAATAACCATGCACGACCCATTTTCAATGCCCTGGCTGAGGGAAGGAGGTTCTCACCCAAGATTTGACGGTACATGGCCCCGTCCATCGTCCCGTTGATGCGGTGAAGTTGTCCTGTCACCTTAGCAGAAAAACACCCCCAAAGCATAATGTTTCCACCTCCATGTTTGACGGTGGGGATGGTGTTCTTGGGGTCATAGGCAGCATTCCTCCTCCTCCAAACATGGCGAGTTGAGTTGATGCCAAAGAGCTCCATTTTGGTCTCATCTGACCACAACACTTTCACCCTGTTGTCCTCTGAATCATTCAGATGTTCATTGGCAAACTTTAGACGGGCATGTATATGTGCTATCTTGAGCAGGGGGACCTTGCAGGCGCTGCAGGATTTCAGTCCTTCACGGCGTAGTGTGTTACCAATTGTTTTCTTGGTGACTATGGTCCCAGCTGCCTTGAGATCATTGACAAGATCCTCCCGTGTAGTTCTGGGTTGATTCCTCACCGTTCTCATGATCATTGCAACTCCACGAGGTGAGATTTTGCATGGAGCCCCATGCCGAGGGAGATTGACAGTTCTTTTGTGTTTCTTCTATTTGCGAATAATCGCACCAACTGTTGTCACCTTCTCACCAAGCTGCTTGGCAATGGTCTTGTAGCCCATTCCAGCCTTGTGTAGGTCTACAATCTTGTCCCTGACATCCTTGGAGAGTTCTTTGGTCTTGGCCATGGTGGAGAGTTTGGAATCTGATTGATTGATTGCTTCTGTGGACAGGTGTCTTTTATACAGGTAACAAGCTGAGATTAGGAGCACTCCCTTTAAGAGTGTGCTCCTAATCTCAGCTCGTTACCTTTATAAAAGACACCTGGGAGCCAGACATCTTTCTGATTGAGAGGGGGTCAAATACGTATTTCCCTCATTAAAATGCAAATCAATTTATAACATTTTTGACATGCGTTTTTCTGGATTTTGTTGTTGTTATTCTGTCTCTCACTGTTCAAATAAACCTACCATTAAAATTATAGACTGATCATTTCTTTGTCAGTGGGCAAACGTACAAAATCAGCAGGGGATCAAATACTTTTTTTTCCCTCACTGTAGATTGAAAACTAATTTCTTTAGTCACTGCTTTTTGGTGTTCAGTTTGCTGTCCTTCCCCACGCACCTCCGATGAGCGCAGTTAGCTACATCTGATGCGAACAAAGTTGAACTTGCATACTTACATGCATACATGTATATGCATATAGTGGACGAATTGGCATGTTTCTGTTTAGTAACAAACCTTACTAATTGACTTTGTCGTGTGGTGGCGGGTTTAACGACACATTTATATTTACGTGATCTAACCCAACAAAAACCTATATGACGGATGTATATGCATAATTGTTAGCTGTATCCATATTGTGGCAAAGACAGCGAAGGAATACAGTGATGAGATCATAGGACCCATTAACGAATATCGTGAGAGACAGAATAGGAAATAACAGAGAGGCAGATAAGGAACTAAATGTAATTGTTTATTTACACCACGTGTTTGAATGTGTAAATGCTACGGCACAGCGAAAGCTACAGAAACATTTAAGGCCATTAACAGGCATGCACCGGGTATTCCCGCAGGGCCAATAGCTCATAAGGAAGTTGCTTGACACGTAGATGATGATTGATGATGATGACTGTTTTGTTTTTTCCCCAATGGGCAATTGAAATGGAAATATCCCTCGATATGGTTTTTTGATAAATATTCTCATTCACGGCGCAGATTGTAGTCTGGCAGGTCTAAACCAACACTCCTGACCTGGTTTACGTAACAGACAACACAAAGTGCGTCGGTTGAACTTCTTTCGCACCGCATAAAGATAACCGTGCTTACCGGACGTGCGTAAATAGTGATAATTATGTCCTTTTTATATTCAGCTTACTTCCCCCGTTGAACTCATTGAGGCCATATGTTATACTTTTAGTAATAAAATGTTTAGTTCATTTAGTAAATGGATTTTTAAAATGTATTTATCATATTATCGTTATGCTGAGTGTCTGCTACTGTTGTGTCCTGTTCAGTGATTTGAGATCCTTGACCAAACGTGCTGTATAAATGGAATCATATTATTATATTTCTTCCAAAAAAGACCAGTGCATACTACCTGCTGTGACAAACGGTTCAGAACCGTGGTCTGTATTAGTTTTTCTTTTATGTTAAAGTGCGAAAAGAAGCGTGGATATATGTATTGCTTGGAATTAAGAAAGAGGAACCACGTGCATTTGGGATGGTACGCAGGTGAATGACATCATCCAACACTGTGAACAAAGGGTCAGTAGTGAGCGGGGCTCGGGCAGGGACGCGTCACTCGCAGGGCCGATGACCGATGGTCAAAATCATGATAACGGAGCGGCAGGCGTCCGAGTAGAGGGTGCCGACCGAGGAGATGGAGCGATGAAATAAATTCGCGTGCAGGGTGCGGAGTGGATCGTTGCATCACAGGATGGTGAGGTGCCGTGGCGACTTGGGGAGGTCTTCATTCAGCAATGGGTTTGACCTTGTCCGATGATGATGATAAGAATTACATTTTTCGTGCTATGTGCGGAGTGAATACCCAATACTGTGCCATAGTTTCAATTCTGCATTTTTAAATTAAATAAACGGATAGATATCGAGCACATACATAACATCTGAGTCACTGACGTGACCGTGATTGAGTGACCGATATAAATTGTAATCACGTTCTAGCTTAAAGTCGAGTAACAACATATTCGGCGCTATGCCTGTCACTACAAAATACACACACACACACAAAAACACTCAATTGTACTAACTCACGCCCGAACGTTTTTTTTTTTAACATCACAGAGGTTGACTAGTAGGACCAGGAAAGCCTAAAGTTCTCAACCAGGTTCACATCGCACTCTTGCATATTAGACCCTGCACTTTGAGTACTCTCGCCTGTTATATAAAGTAAACTCACGAAAACACATTTTAAAACATACTTACCGTCATCATCAGCGAACCAAGTTACTGTATTTTAACTCCTACTGAGTGTTACGTTTAAGCTGTATGGAAAGCGGGTTACTAGTACTATATATATAGTACTATATTACACGCCTGGGTTTTTAACAATTATA